ATGTAGATGACAGTGCCACATGCTGTATGAAAATGTGTATATTGTGATGACTTGTTAATGTTTTAGAGGTATTCCTGCAGTGTGTCAAAACAATGAGAGGTGTTCATTTGGACAGTGATACAGAATTGAAATGCATTGTTAGGTTAAATATGTGAAAATAACAAATAGTCCTGTGGCACTTCTGAGGTTAGAAAGCTTATAATTTGGAATATACTTTTGTGGACTGCAATCCATTCTTGATGCATGGAGTATAGCTTCCATATATAAATATTTATGCGGTAGTGGAAGGATGCAAGATAAAATGCAATGCAAATGCAGGTGCTGTGACATGTTAATGGTCTGCCAGTGGCCATTAAGGGCCCATTGGCAGTCCTTGGGGAGGTTATTGGATGGAATAGCATACCCTGTTTCCCTGAAAATAAGCCCTAGTATGGTTTTTCAGGATGCTTTTAATATAAGCCCTACCCCCCAAATAAGCCCTAGTTAAATGAAAGCCCACTCTCCACCATTGTGCAGCAACCAGAACACATGACTGTATTTGACTAAATGTAGATTGCTGTAAATAGAAAAATAAAACATCCCCTGAAAATAAGCCCTAATGCATTTTTGGAGCAAAAATTTATATAATACCCTGTCTTATTTTCGGGAAAACACGGTAGTTTGAGTCTGAACATAAGAGTAAACAGCAGTGCAATTAAATGGGATTTTTGATCCTGTGAATGGGCTCATGTCTCATCTGTGATGTGGATATTGATAGTGGATTTTATGATTTTAAAAGGGTGCACAGTTGCAGGTGGACTCTTTGTATGTTGAGTACTAAACTTCTCTCTTTGACTAATAAGTTGAGGCTCATCTTGATTTGTGTTGTGTTCCAAATATAGAAATGGCACAGTAATTTTCCGATTTTGGAGTTCTTGTTGGACCTGGTAAGGGCACTTGGAGGCATTCAGTCTGGTTCCCCCTTGTACGTTTTAGTATTGTGGTTCAAAATAATGAAGGACACTAGTGTTAAACCATTGGATTAAGTGACATGATCTTATATACATAGTGGGCCAGTTTGGATTTTAATTAAGTTGGAATCAAGATCACGGCCATGTTATCCTTTTCAGCTGATGATTCAATTTATGTGGATTGTGCTTTCTTTGAACCACAGTTTTCATTATATCTGAAACAAAGATTGTGACTTAATGTTAGTTTACCATCTGGAATATGATGATTTCATTATGTATGAAACGAGAAACTGGTTTAATGCTGGTATATCAACTAGGATGTATAATTTTCCTTATGTCTGAAACAGAGAACTGTGCTTTAATGTTAGTTTACCATCTAGGATGTGAAATTGTGCTGTGATCCTGGTTTCAGTTTCTAGTTAGTTTCTTCTGTGAGTACCTGTTGATACACTGTCACTTTCTAATAAAGGAAAAACTGTGGTGGTGATAAAAGCACTGAAGGTGGTGTATGTTGGAGGAGGAGAAAGTTTATTTTTAGCTTATTATAGCTTATTACACCAGGGTCCAACAACACAGGTGTCTGTCAACTGTCAATTTCTTTAAATTATTGTCAGAAATGTTTATAGATTTATGATTGTTCTCTGGTGAAAGGAAGCATCCAGCAATGGGTTGATTTTTCCTATTGTCCAGGAAAATGTAAGGAACACATGATGTAGATCTTTGCACAGTATTCAGTGCTAATACACAGCTTCTCATCCTTTTCTCTCACCCAGGACAATGCATCTTGCCTTCATGTCAGTCATGTATCAGAACTCTTTTGTTCCTGTTCTTCTGATCCAAAAAATGAGTCCCAGAGATTGTGGGGAAAAGCAGGGTATAAGTCAAATATATTTTCATGTTCTTCATTGTGATGCATTTCTTTATTGCAAATAACTGAAGTGTTCTTTCTGTTGTTTTCTAAACTCCTTCCATTATTTCCTTATTCTGTTGTGGTACTAGTGGGAAAACAAACTTTTCCTAGACTAGTCAAAGCAAATATAGTGTTTTAGCATATATATTTTTGATGCAAAACGAACAACATTCTGTGCAACTCACTTCCAAGATTCTTACTAAGCATAGCTTCCGTCTTCTTCATTTCATACCTCAATTCTTTATTGAGTTATTATTTTGGAGATAATACTTTGGAGCTTATGTCTGTCTGTCACTTCTTGCCACTAGGGATTTCCAGGCACTGACAAGAGGTACTCAGAGACTCTTTTTCAGTCAGGGCATTCTTGATTTATGACAAGTCTATAGGGAACTCAGCCCCAGGGAGACCTCAGTGAAAAGCAGCCTCTTAGGTTCAATGAAAAGATTTTTTTGAGCTGGACTGTGTCATGGGACTAGTGGTCCACCCTACTTCCTGGTTTCTTGCTTCTTGGTGTCAGAAGAAGGAGTTTTCTCAAAAAAACCACAACAACCAGCTGTCAGTATTGTCTGCTGGACAGTCACATAGAGATGTCAGTTTTAGAAGAGGTAGAGAGGTCAGATGTGTGGTGTCTTCTAGTAAAATTGTTTTTCTGCAGTAAAATTGAATCAGTCTTTTACTATCAATGCATCATTTTGAAGTTTTTCTGCTGCTAATAAGCATGTCCCTTTTTGATTCCTTGAGTGTGCACCACCACCCATTCTGAGAAAGGGGGGTGTTGAAAAGGATATTCTGTCATAGGCTCCATGGACACACTGAAGTGAGGATGCAGTTTAACAGCTTTTATTGGGTTCGCCAGTCACTCAAAATCAGCAGACTGAGGACTCTTGAGTTATCCCACCACCAGCTGCTCTTTTCGCTCGAGGCAGAGATTTCCTGTACTTACTTACTAACTTACTCTGTCTGTCTGTCTGTCTGTCTGTCTGTCTGTCTGTCTGTCTGTCTGTCTGTCTGTCTGTCTGTCTGTCTGTCTGTCTGTCTGTCTGTCTGTCTGTCTGTCTGTCTGTCTGTCATGCCGCCCACACTACCCAAAAGTCCCCAGTTTACCCTTCCCTGGGCTGAGTTCCCTTCACTAGTCCCTGTATAATGGCATCCTTCATTGGGGATTGGTAGTCCCTGACATATACTGGTCTTCATAGAGAGAGATTTTCTCCAGTCCCCGAGCAAGCTGGTTGCAGAGTTGGTTCCAATGGGTGAGCCTTCTTTGGTTTCCGAGGTTGGTGGTTGTGATGTTCTATAGAAGCAAAGATGGGTGTGCCTCCATGTATCCATGGCCCATTCTCCAGCCCATGGATTGTGCAGAAAATTTAGTCTCACCTCTACCAAGGTGCAGAGCACTGGTGGCAATTCTTTCCAAACCTCTGCTTATGACACCCAGTCATCTATTTCTCCCTCACTGCTTCTTCTCTTGTCTCAGGCTTCATTTTTTCCATCCCACTTGCTCCAGAGTCTCTCCTCAAGCCTTTCTTAAAGGATCTGTTCCTTCAGAAAGTCAGCAAAAGAAAAAGAGAAATACAGCTCTCTGTTGCATTTGCAAAATCAAAAATCAAGGTTCATCATATACTATAATACTAAAATTTAACAAAAAAAAATTTGAGTCCTGTAGGACTCCTCTTGAGGTTGGCCATTGCAGAATTTAGAATGGGATGGAAAATTCAGAATCACCTAATAAGTTCCAAGAAAGAAACTGGAAATGTAAAGAATCAGATTCAGGTCTGGTGATAATCAGGTTTTACCTAAACAGTTGTCTTTCTCTATATTTTGACAAAGGACTGCCAGTCATTCAGTGAAAGCTCCACTGCACAGGGCTCCTGTTTTGGCTCAGAGTAAAAGTACTCAAAGCTAGATAGCTCAGAGATTTGGAGTACAGTATCTGGCTGTACAGAGTCTGATTTCCAGTTGTCCTTCCGGGAGACGAGCCCGCCTGTGTAGCCATGGGAAAGTTGCACAGTTTTACAGAAGAAGGGATTAGTAAAGCACTTCTGAGTATTTTATACCCTGGCACAGGTCACCGTAAGTTGTAATCAGACACATAATAATTATTATTAGATGGGGGGATCTTTTATTTGCATTTGTCAGTTGAAAACATGTGGACATGTTGAGGCCAATGCCAGGAAGTCACCAGTGTTGCTTGCCAGATAAAATGATGTGTTGCTAGAATAGAAAACTGAGGGAGATTCTGAAAAACATGATCAGCAGTGTGGCCCCTATGATTTGGAGAGGAAACACAATTTTGTCCACAATTCCATAAGTCAAAGGAACACTTACTTGTTGGTCAGCTCTCTCATTTCAAAGCAACTGGAACCAACTGGATACAGAATCTTCAGATGAATGGATTCCAAGCTGCTCAGAGGTACATTTCATCCCTAATGCCAAACCTTCTGCTGAAGATGAGCTTCCTTTCAGTGATTATATCTGTGAAAAGAAATTCTGAACAAAGCACACTTCTCATTAAAAGCCAATTCTCTTTAACAGTGTGCTTCACAGAAATATGTGCAGTTGATTCTGGTTATACTTCAAACACCTTTCAATCATTTTTTTCTTTTCTGGGGCAGGCTTTGTGAGATGGGTGCCATAGTGTAGTCTTATTTTCCAGTGGTCTCAACTACTGTATATTTTCATTCCAGCCCTTATATATATGTTAGGTTGTGCACATCTGTGCTGGATGTCTCCCCACATGAAGCACCAGACTGTTAGCTGTGATGGGTTCTTCTGACCTGATGGGAAGGAGGTACATATGCCATATCCTATTCACAGGTTCTGGAGTTGCTTATGTCATTATGGAACTACTCATATACTTAATGCTTCAGTCCACCTTTTCCTATGTTATTCTTTCTTCCTCTGTACAGTGGTGCCTCGATTTACGAAGTTAATCTGTATTGGAATGGTGGTCGTAAGTTGAAATGTTCATAAGCCGAAGCACCATTCCCATAGGAAAGCATTGAAAACTGAGTAATCATTTCCAGCTGAAGAAAGATAATCACAAAAAAGCCGCAAAAAGAACACAGCAAGCCTGGTCGGAAGGCACTCCGTTGCTGAGATTTAAGAAGAAGGAAAAACCTCCAGAAACAAACACTAAAGCCACCAACAACACAGCACAGAAACATACCCGCCCCAGCCAAAACCCACCCAGAACAGTTTTTTAAAAGGAGAAAACAGTAGTTTATCTCCCTGCAGACACACACACACACTCACTCCGAAGCAGGAGGCTCTTTCAAGCCTCTGACGACAACGACACACTCTCTAACTGAAAGAGCTACAGTACAAAGCACCTTCGTCACCACCTATAGTTAGAAATCTGAATTGCCTGCCTTTTTTCTATTTGTAAGTAGAAGCTCTGTTCGCAAGTGGAAGCAAAATGTTGCAACCAGAGCTGTTCGTAAGTTGAAATGTTCGTAAGTAAGGAAGTTCATAAGTCGAGGCACCACTGTATTCTGTTAATAGTGTGAGACTCCTTCTCAAGCTTGGTCATGGGGTGGAACTGGAGAGGTCATAGTACAAAGATTTCCATAATATGGTTCCTAGTTTTCTTGGTTTATAAAAGGAGTTAATCCATTCTTGGATTTTTCTGTATTAAACCAGAAGGAACTTTTTTGGCAACTTTCCAGTGTTTTACTTTATTAGTACAATATTGCTTCTATATTTCACTTTTTCTCTATGGAACTCAGGGTTGTGTCATTTTAGCTTTTTAATATCTTCCTGCAGTAAATAAATTTGAGGAAGAGTAACAACAGCCACCTGCTGAACTTTGTTGGTTAGTATGTACTTCAATTTAAGCTCCTTCAGTCCAACCCCATTACTTAGTCTATGTTGTGTTATTGCTCTAGTATGTTTTCTTTAAACACATTCAATTAATTTCATTTGTATTTTACTGTTTGCTTGATTCTTTCTCACTTATTTTCTTTTTTTGTGCTGCTGAAATTATTTTGGTTTGTGTTGGGCTTGAAATGCTTTTTACCCTTTTTGAAAGAATTATGTGCAATCAATTTACCTCTGAGTTACAGTGACTCTGTGAATGAGCAATCTCCTAAATGTCCTACCATTGAAAGCCCTGCTCAGCTTTTGCAAACTCAAGCCTATAGCTTCCTTTATGGAGTCAATCCTTATTATAGTCTGTCTTCCTAATCTCCTGCTAAGTTCAACTTTTCCTAACATTATTGTCTTTTTTACCCCAAAGTCCTTTCTTTTCTTGATGTATCCAAAGTATGACAACCTGAGTTTCATCATTTTTGCTTCTAGAGAGAGTCCAAACTTGATTTGTTTTAGGTCTCATTTGTTCATCTTTCTGGCATTCCAGAGTATCCACAAAGTTCTCCTCCAGCACCATTATTTCAAATGAATCAGTTCTTTTACTGTCAACCTCCTTCACTGTCCAGTTTTATATCAGCACATAGTAGTTGGAAATATGTGGATGGTCTTGGCCTTGGTCTCTAGTGACACATCCTTACATTTGATGATCTTTTCTAGTTTCTTCACTGCTGCCCTTCCAAGTCTGAGTCTTCTGATTTCTTAGGTGCAGTATCCATTTGTATTAATGATTAAACCAAGGTATGCAAAGTCTTTAACCGTTTGAGTTTCTTCATGGTCAATGCTAAAGTTATCTAGTTCTTCTTTAGTCATAATTTTGTGTTCTTAATGTTCAGCTGCAGTTCTGCTTTTGCACTTTCTTCTTTCATCTTTATCAGGAATAATTTCAACTCACTGCTTTCTGCCAGTGATATGTATTACCTAGTCCTAGTCTGTCACCTTCTACACTACATCATATTATTTTTTCCATGTTCCAGTAGACAATTTATATTTGCAATATTATCTCAAGTGTCTCTTCCTTTTGGGGATACAGCCTGAAGACTGGGCATTTCTGGCTTCATATAGGGTAAAAGTCTTTGTTGCAACACCTTGAACATTCTTTTGCTTGCATGGAATATTAGTGTGTCAGCTTCTGTTTGAAAAATTTAAGTAGTTTATCTAGCAAAGTTATTGTTTATGCTACCCTCCATGTTGAGTGTGTCTTAGTAACACTTAATGCTAGAAACATAAGCACTTGTTTATAACATAATTATAGGAACATAAACACTTATGGTTGCACTTTGGGAAGGCTGTCTTGTTCTTAGAAATCCTAATAATTTTCCTTGTAATATCTTTAATATAGATCAAAGAATTTGCTGATATGTCTGTTTTCTGTAATATTAGTTAGCTGACACTTCATTGATGTAAGTTGTGATTAAAAACTTTATATATGACATACTTTAAGAATCATAGAATGAAATTGATATGTACAATATATGTATGTAGTATGAAGCATTAAACCTATTTAGATTTAGCATTTTGATGTGCTTGTATGCTGATTATTTTATATAATTCCTAAATGATGAAAACATTTAATTGAATCACAAAGTTGGGCATTCAGAGGAATCAGACAAATTTTTGAAAACTCATATTTTTAAATGAAATATCCTGTATAGTTAATCATGGCTTATTAAGGAAGTGCAACATTGATTATGCAATTACTGAAACTGAGATAAGTTTTTTTTCTGTTTGCTTAAGAGGAAAAGTTCACATCAGTATACCCTCCAACTGCAGCTCCCACACCACAATTTCTATGGATTCCAAGTCCTCAGAATGGATTTTCTGGGATGCATGTGGCTGCTGAGGGAAAGGGTAGATAGGAAAGCAGCATTTCATGTTTTATTTACAGTAGAAAAAAAGGACCCAAGTCTGTGTTTCTAAGGTATGCAGAGGTTTGTGTATATGCACATGTATATGTATATGTATATGTGGAATTATTAGCTACCATTAGCACAGGCTAAAGGAGACTGTGAGTTCTGTGCTGTCAAATCAAAACTGATTTATGTTGACCCTGACAGGGCTTTCAAGGTAAGTGAGATATTTAAGGAGTGGTTTTTCCAGTTCCATCCACCTGTTGAATTTCCATGGCCAAATAGGGATTCAAGCCCTGTTCTCCAGAGACCTAGTATGTCAGTCTATTCACTATGCCACAATGGGAATCCCAGTTTACACAGTTTAGAATAACAGTGCAGTTCAAATAGTGAAGAGGTAAAAAGAACTGCAATCAAGACACAAATGTGTATATGTTGTTGGCTACTATATATCACTTTTGCTAAAGTTAACTTTAATGTGGAGTGAACATATATTTTTCCAGATATTGCTGGATTATAATTCTTATTACCTTTGACCATTGCTCGTACCTGCTAGGGCAAATGGGAATGCAGCAACAGCTCTAGGGTTCCCCATCCCTACTTTACTGCAATTGGTATCCAGTTCAGTTTGATACTATACTCATGAAATTGTATTTTTTAATATCGAAAATAAAGAATTTGACAAATAGAGTGTATTTATTGAACTAGCTGGGTATTATTTATTTTCATAAATTAATTATGTATGTAACCTATTTTAAGTATGCAGAATCTAAAACCTTTGTCTTTCTATCTTTTAAGGTAAAAATTTGTATACAAATGAATATGTGGCAATTAAGCTGGTAAGTTGACCGTAGTTAATATTTGAAATACAAGGCATTACATTTTAATAAGCTTAATGCTTGCACTCTGAGTTAATTCCATTTAGATTTGGGAGTGTTGCTTAATTTATTAAATAACAATTATTAAAAGTGTTGTGGCATTATATCTTTTATAGTACTGTATGAGTGCAGTGGGGGACATTTAAGCCCTCTTCTCTCATATCCTTCCCATATCTGGGTCCCAGAATAGTTTGGACCTCCTTGGCACTGTGCAAAACAGAATCCCAAATTACATTGGTGCTTATAATATGGTGATATTATTGCTCAAAAGCATGAATTCTTGCTTGCTTAGATGTGGTTGGATTAAAGAGTAAAGAAATAGTTGGCCTCATGGAACAATTCTGTAAGAATAGCTTAACATTTAATAAGAATAAAAGAAACCTAAACTGTAAATAACCATTTCATTTCAAAAGTGTGTGTTTTCCCCTGATTGAGTGGCTTCCTTGGTACATTTTCATAGTTATGATGGAGAAAAGTTGTTCTTAATTGCAGTTTCTAGCTGTTTAGGTGAAGTATGTTCCTGGGGCATACCCCTCCTTTTTTGCAAACAAAAGGTAGTGACATGACCCTGGGTAAAAAAGTTAAGATGCATTGAGATATTCTGATATCACCTTTGGAGACCTGTGGAGGTCTCCACAAAGGGTAATTGCATACCTGGTCTCATACCTGATCAGGTAAAGAGGAGAGTAATTGCTGAGAGCCTATGATACTTGGATTGTCCACTTGTAACAAGCATGCCTTTCTGTTTTTCTGTGTACATATTATCCTCTGTCTTCTCTTCTGCCTATTTTGTTTGCCTGCTTGTTCCTTTGTTTGTTTGTTTATATAGACACACACACACCTCACATCAACATGTAATTCCAACAGAAGACTCCCATCCCCTCACCCCGTGACAGCTAAATGTAGACAAAATTTAAATATAGTGGGTTAATAAATCTATCACAGGGTGAGAATATTTTTAAAGGCCTCTTCAAAGAGTTCAGTTTTGACAACCTTTCTAAAGGCATATACATACAGTGGTGCCTCGCTTAACGGGCGCCCCATTTAACGACGAATCTGCATAGCGACGGATTTTTTGCAATCGTTTTTGCAATCGCATTGTGATGTTTCTAATGGGAAAAATTGCTTTGCGATGATTGGTAAGCTGTTTCGCTTACCAATTTTCCCATAACGATGATTTCCCAACAGCTGATCGGCGGTTCCAAAGTGGCCGCCGGGTAAAAAAATGGCCGCCCTCTGTGTTTTCGCCCAGATTCCTCGCTTACCGGGCAGCGAAAATGGCAGCCATATGGAGGATTTTCGCATAAAGGTGATTTTTTTTTGCCCATAGGAACGCATTAAACGGGTTTTAATGCATTCCTATGGCCTTTTTTATTTCGCATAGTGACAAATCCGTATAGTGACGATTTTGGTTGCACGGATTATCGTTGCTATGTGGGGCACCACTGTATATATCTAAAGGCATGCACGCACGCACACACACACACACACACACACACAGAGAGAGAGAGGGCACTCTAGACACACTTTTTGAGGGCTATGTGGGGCACCACTGTATATATCTAAAGGCATGCACGCACGCACACACACACACACACACACACAGAGAGAGAGAGAGGACCCTTGACGTACTTTTTGAGGTCCGGACTTCCCCGGCCGCAAGATTTCCAGTCGACTTGCAGCTGGAGAATCGACCTACAGACTGGAAGGGGGAGGCAGGGAAAGCGCCAAATTCAAATTTGGTGTTCCTTTGTTTGTTTGGCCAATGATCGTGCCTCCGGATGCCTTCCAGGGCTTTTCTGCTGCCATGGGAGGCATCTCGGAGGTCCCCTGCCGCCGCCGATCATGCTTCGGAGGCACAATCGGCGTTGGGATTGGTGTTTGGGGCCTAATCTGCTGGGAGCTGCGCCGCGCCGGGCGATCCCGGCCATATTCGGACTCCTGGACTTCCCCCGCTGCCGCCAATATTTTATTCCCCTGCCTTCAGAAGCTTTCTTTTTGATTCCTAGCCCTGACTTTTCCTCTGTTTTGCTCCAAGTGCATATGCACACTCTCCCCCCAAGCAGGTAACTACTGGGCAGAGGCTGTGGCAGCTTATTTTTTCTTGGAGAGGGAATGTTGCTGGGTCTTGACATTATTTTGCTTCGGTGCTGAGCCACTCCACCACCTTTGCCTGGGAAGGGGCCCAGCCCCAAGCGCCCCCCACCCATCTGCTTCCACATTGAGATTAGGCACCTCTTCCTCAGCACCGCTACTTCAGTCACCCTGCCCCACCCACCCTCTGCCCTTCCCCGAAGGAAGCTATGAGCCATGAAGCCACCTGGCAGAAGTTCTCAACGGCAGCCCTCGCCTGCATGCTGCCACTGCTTCCCTGGCATTTGGGTGGCTGCCACTGGCGGTGCCTCTTGACCCAACGTGGCTGCCCCAGCTGGGGTGCCCCTTGCACCTTGCCTTTTTCACACTCCTGCTCTTTTGCCCACAGAGCTTGGGAGTCGCTGCAGACACTGGTGAGTCTGCAGGGTAGGGAGCCAGCGAAGGGGATCCCCCGGTCCTACCCACTGTGCTGCTGTCCCGGCAGCCCGGTCCTTCCAAGGTCACAGACTGGGATAACAGGATTTTGGCCAGTATATAATAAATAAATATCCATGAATAATCACAAAAACTGGCATGTTGCAATATTTTTCTTGGTTCAGACCCTTAATATTCGGGTATTGCTAGCTCCTAAAGTTGATGACATGAAGAGCCTCGTGGTGCAGTGATTAAACTGCAGTACTGCAGTGAAAACTCTGCTGATTACCTCAGTTTGATCCAGTTTCATATCAGAAGTGACCTTTGCATCATCTCTAGCTCGCCCTACTCCTCTTCACTTCCACTCTATAACTTTTGTCATGGAAAACTATTTGACCTGGATAACTACACTTGCCCTTCGCAAGGCCTTTACCGCTCTACGTTTTCAATGTATGCCTTCAAGAGTGTTAGAGGGCAGACACGAGAATCTGCCCTATCACCTAAGAACTTGTCCTTGCCACCTTGGAGAAGTCGATGACATCACTCACTACCTTTTGAGATGTCCATATTACCACTCCCCTAGATCAAGGTTTTTGGCAAGTTCTCTGACTTCCATCCAAGACAGACCTAATCTCGCCCAGGTCTGTTGGCTCCTGGCTGACATTAACGCCAATACCACCTTAAACGTGGCAAACTTTGCCTTGGCTACAATTAACATTCGAGCTCGTTTGTTCCCTGTACATTTGTCTCTTTGATTCCTGTCTATGCCTTATTGTATTTTCTTTTTAATTAACTATCTCACCTGCTGCTTATTATTTTATTTTAACGTATTTTAATGACTTATAGTTGATAAATAAATACTTCCTTGACTCTCTGACCTCAGTTTGATCCTGACAGTCTCAGGTATCCAGCTCAAGGTAGACAGCCTTTTGTCCTTCCAAAATTGGTAAATTAAGTATCCAGCTTGCTGGGGTGGGGCAATATATAGCCTCCATAATTAAATTGTAAACAGCCCAGAGAGGGCTTTAAAGATGGTGTATAAGCAGCACACTTTGCTTAATTCTTTGGGCTGAACTTACCTAATCTTTCTAAAGGTGGTTTGCTTTTTGTTTGGGGACTAATCTGCATTGCTTAATATTTTCAAATTACGCATTATTGGTCAGATCACTGGTTCATTTTGGCAGTTGCCAAGAGGCTCCAGAATGTTGCCAAGAAATTTCTGGTGACCAATATTACACATTTTTGCTGTCATTTCTCTACAGGAAATGACATGTGCTACTTGGATAAAAATTATTTTAAAACTGTGTCTGTATAGAAATATTTAAATATATAGTTCTCTGTGTCTTGTTGATAATCATAGCATGCTTTTCTGGAAATTGTTTTGTCAGGGAATAATACTACCCAACTCCCATTAAGACTGTAATCTATCCTATGAATCTTTACACAGGAATGAGCCATGTTGCCCTCACTGGTGCTTACTTCTAAGACGATACTTGTAGAATTGCAATGTTTCATCACTGGCAACTAGGGTACATTTTTATATAATAGGTTTATTTTTGTGAGGACGGCCCTTACAGTAATTTTTGTCATTTTATTAATAATAGTAGTCTTAAATATATTATTCTTGTTTGTTCTAAGACTGCTTGTAAAGATTTCCAGTTTTTTTTTCTGGCTGTTTTCAAACTACATAAATAATAAAAGTTGCTTTTGGATGTCCCTTCCCACTTGATGCCATTGGAATGCCAGCCTCTGCATTTTTGTGCTGAAGACTTCTAAAGAACATTGTGTTTTTTCATTGCTATAAATGTACAGACCCACACTAATTTCCATTAGAGAAAAACATTCTCCTGCTTCATTGTGCCAGTTAAATGGTGGTGAGATTAATATTTTTAGTTCAAGTTGTTACTCATTAAGCCCTTCTTCTGAGTTCATAGTATGAAGCAGTCCCTCCCTCCCTTCCCAAGTATTGGTATACAGTGGTGCCTCGCAAGACGATTTTAATTTGTTCCGTGGAAATCACTGTCTTGCGAAAACATCGTCTTACGAAACGCAGTTCCCCATAGGAATGCATTGAAATCTATTTAATGCGTTCCAATGGGGGAAAAAAATCACTGTCTTGCGAAGATTGTCCATAGAGAACATCATCTTGCAAAACACAGTTCCCCATACCATACTGGGGAAAAGCAATCCCCTCACCTGCACTGCCTTTGGAAATGCAATGGGTACCAGATGGCCTTCCCCCTCTTTCTCTTTCCAGCAGCAAAGAAAGGGTGAAAGGAGTCAAAGTAGCCCCCTGGCTCCTGATAATGATGACTCCTTTTGCCCTGTTCCTTTACCAGGACTTGCTGCTTTTGCAATGGGTCCTGATAACGGAAAAAGAGATGAAAAGTATTCTATAAAGACCAGGGAAATCACAAATGCAACCCCCCATTAACATAAATTATGCAGTTGAATTCCCCACATTTGGGGAAACCACAGGAATCATCAGCACACCCAAAGTGCAATGGATGAGCCTTACCCTGGGAAAACCACTTTTATGACATGGTATTTCCCCTGCAAGATATGAGTTGGAATGGCCCTTGCACCTCCTCCCCCCTTCTGTCCCCTGACCCCCCCCAAGGCATGGTGACCCCCTGGCTGCACCTCCCACTCAGTACAAGGCTGCACAGCCCCAGTCCTGCCAGAGGCCAAGAGAGTTCCTCAGTGTTTTGGGGTGCCCTGCAGGACCCCCATCAGGGGCTAGGTGTTCCTCCCACAATCCTCTAGTACACAGGGATTAGCATATGCTAATATACCTTATGCTAATACCCCTTATGTCCCTAAATGTGGGGAACCCAACTGCATAATTTGTGTTAATGGGGGATTGCGTTTGTGATTTCCCTGGTGTTTTTACAATCTCTTTACCCTTTGGTTCCTAGCTGTTTTCACCATCCTCTACCATTTAAATTTGCAGCCATCGCCCCATTGGTGATGCTTTGCAAGATGTTTTTTCCCCCATTGGAACAGATTAATTACATAAGAGCTACATTTTTTATCCCAAAAAAGTGGGGGAGAAAGACTATGCTGCTGGCTTTCTAGGAGGCAGACCCTGGAAAGCCAGCAGCATACAATTTCTCCCCCACTTTTTTGGGATAAAAAAGTAGGTCTTATGTAATTAATCTGTTCCAATGGGGGAGAAAAAGTCTTGTGAAACAGTTTTTTTAAAAAAAAAAATCTTGTGGGGCAAGGACCCAAACATCATCTAGCGAAAATTGCCCATAGGAACAATCGTTTTGCGAAGCACAACATCACTCAAAAAAGTCACTGTCTAGCGAATTCATCGTTTTGCGAGGTAATCATCTAGCGAGGCACCACTGTACTATAAGTAACTAGAGAACACTGAGAAATACTAAGTCCAAGCAAGATTTGTTTTTTGTTCACATTTGCAGTCAGGAATAGAGAAAGCTTTTAAGTCTGTGAGTTTTTTAAAGAGTGGTAAGCACCTGCCAATGTGGCCTGAGCTTCTGCCTGTTCTTTCCTAGTGAGTGTTGTGGTCCAGCTAAGATTGTTGCACTGAAGTGCTGCATGTCCTTGTCTATGTGGTTAATTTTACCATTTGAGCAGTTCTTGTCTGAATGTTGTCATATTATGAAAGGACAGACAATAATTGATTCTGAAAACTTGAGGAAATTGTTTCTTTGAATTGCTGCCTTTTCCACTTTCAGAGGGCCAAAGCACAGAGCAGAATAAATGCTGTAATGGACTACAGTATTTAGGGACATATCTTAATTTCTTATGTTGGGAGCAGTGGATCTCAATCTTGTTGGGCTTTCATTCTCTGAATCTTAAAGAGACATCTAAATCCACAAGGCCTGTGTCTTTGATACTCTGTGACAATTTTCAATCCAACTGGTTCGGATCTGTCCAGAGCTATACACTGAAAAATCAACCTTTCCCCTCAGGTGCTTTTATCTTTTGGAATAGATCAGGCAAAAAAATATTAGATGAATAGAGAATTCAGGATATTATGGTGATGGCGTATCTAAAAAAACTGCTGAACTGGAAAATTATTTTAACATCACTGGAAGCAAAGGGGTTTAGAAAAGCCTTCACCTTGGCAAGGTGCTTGGCACTCTCTTCTGCTGTACTTGAAGGGAAGCACAAGAATATCCCTTTCACTGAAAGGCTTTGTACTTGTCTCTTAAGACTACAGAGCACATGTTCTTTACCTGCCCACATTATGAGGTGGTACGCAAGGAGATCATCACCCCATTGATTGAAAACATTCCTGGGCATTCAGAAGAAAAACAGACTTGAACTACTTCCTGATATAGACCTCAAGATCAGTTTCCAAGTAGCCAGATTCTCTATGGACTTGGGTCTTGGAAATTCTACAGTAACTAGACATTAGATTTTAAATTGTCTTTTAATGCTAAAAGTTTTTATGATGTATTTGGAATTCTGGAAATTTGTAAAGGTTTATTTTTGCTATGTGATTGGTCTAAGGACTGTAACAGTAAACTGAACTAAACTGAACTCTCAGAATCCTTAACTGTGGTCATGCTGTCTGTGGCTGCTAGAAATTTAAAACTACTAGAGGACCAAAGGGTGAGACTCAGTTATTTGGAGGGAGGCAGATAACTATAATAGCAAATGGGAGCTACTGTGCATCACTTGGTATGATTACTATTGCAGGAAATGGAAAGCTTTGTGGGTGCACCTTCCCAAGTAGTTTAGCCATTGTCCCAGTGGCTTGTGTTCTTTCAAGGTGGGGAATATCTTACTCCTGTAATCCCTCAATTATTATGTTTTCTGGCATTATCTCAATTTTTTGAATTCTTGGGTATTTTACATTTGATCTAACTCTTAGAGAAGAAGCAGTTTTGAAAAGAACAGTTCTGTATGCAATATGGAATATAGGTTAAGAAGTGAAACATTGTTATTAACAATCTGATATTGTCACAAGAACAACTTTTTGGAAAGTGGCTGAAGTAGAAAACACATAGATTGGAAAGGTTTCTTTTCATATAGTCTTAAACTAATTGTAAACACGGATATAATCACCTCACGGTTTATTACCATGCATTAGTATAAGTGTTTCATTGAGATCTTGACTTTTAAAATTCAAAATCTTGGTCTTTTTAGGAGCCAATGAAGTCAAGAGCACCACAGTTGCACTTGGAATACAGATTCTATAAGCAATTAGGATCTGGAGGTAAGTATAATTTAACAAGTTTTACTGGAATGGAAACTATTAGCAACAATAAACCTTTACATTATTGAGCACCTACTTAGATATGTAACAGCTGATTAATTCAAATGTTTGGTGTTTTATTAGAGATTGTTGTGTTTAGTGCATATCATTGGCTGTAACTGCTTTCAAAGACAAAGTGCCAGAATGCACATTTTACTGCAGCTATATGAAACATTTGCTGAAGACCGATTGTCTGCTGAAGGCACTTGACAAATTATTTTTCTCCTTTTGGTGTTCAACAGCTTTGTTTATTTCATTAGATTATTCAGAAGAGGAATTCTCTATGATTCTTGAGTAGAATCAGATATCGAACAATTCACTGTAGAAAATTATTAGGCAGTTGCTGTAGAAAGAAGCTGCATTGGCTGTTGGCCATGAAAAAGTGGAGTACAGATTTATTTGTAGTATGTATACCGTATTTTTTCATGTATAAAATGACACGCAGATTTATTTGTTGTACGTATACCGTATTTTTTCATGTATAAAAGGACACTTTTGCCTAAAATAATTAGAGGAAAATTGAGGGTTGTTTTATACGCAGAAATAAGGAGGGGGAAGGGATCAAAGCGCTTTGATCCCTGCTTTCCCCCTATACTTTCCTTGCAAGAAAGTGGAGGGGAAAGCAATTCCTGCTTTCCCCCTACATTTTCATTGCAAAAAGCTGCTTTCTTCCTACACTTTTTGCAACAAAAGTGGAGAGGGAAAGCGATTCCTTCTTTCCCCCTACACTTTAGTTTAAAAAGCTGCTTTCCCCTTGCAGTGTCATTGCAAAAAGTGGAGGGGAAAAGCAGCTTTTTGCAATGAAAGTGCTTTTCCTGTACACTTTATTTGCAAAAAGTGGAGGAGGAAAGCAGAGATCAAAGCGTTTTGTCATTCCCCCCCCCCCCACTTATTCCCCCTCCACTTTCTTGCAATGAAAGAAATTTTGGGTTAGAAAAGTGGGTGGGCATCTTATATGTGGAAAAATACGGTATATAGTCCGTGGCTAGCATTATAGCATAGTCATGGGATAAAGTGATACACAGTAACTTACAACAAATGTTGACTGCCCATCTTTGAGTATATAGTAATTTCTAACCATTTCCAATGAGACAGAAAGGCAAAAATGTTTAGTAGTACGTGGGACTGCCTTTGAGGCTGACACAGAAACTTCAGGTGGTTCAGAATGCGGCGGCCAGGCTCCTGACAGGAGTGAGGAAATACCAACACATCTCTCCAACACTGGCCACATTGCATTGGCTGCCCATCTGTTTCCGTGTCAACTTCAAAGTTTTAATGCTTACTTATAAGGCCCTAAATGGTTTAGGACCTCGATAAGTGAAATCTTCGTCAAGCGAAATGAAAAAGCCCATTGAAACGCATTGAAAACCACTCAGTGCGTTCCAATGGGCAAAATACCTCAGCGTCCAGTGAAGATCCTCCATAGGGTGGCCATTTTCTGGTGCTTGTAATGCGAGGAATCCATCCTGAGCACAGCGGGCGGCCATTTTGAAACCCAGCAGTCAGCTGTTTTCTGATAGTTGTTTAGCGAAAAATCGGTTCCCGAAGTAGGGAACCGATCATCGTGAAGCGATTTTTCCCATTTAGAACATTGTTTTGCGATCGCAAAAGCGATCACAAAAACTTCATCGTTAAGCAATTTCCTCATCTAACGAGGTAATTGTCAAGCGGGGCACCACTGTACTCAGAAGTGGTTTCACTTCTTCCAGGGGCATCCTGGGACTATATAGCTTGACCAAGGCCACACACAGGCCAGCTCTTCTGTTTCAGCCAGTTATCTAATTCACTGAACTATCCAGGAATGACAAATGGAAGAATTGCCTCATACCTCTGTTAGTTGGGAGCTCCTCCAAAGTTATTCACTTTGAAAATGAGTATAATGACACAAAACTTGAACCCACTGTGGTTTAGAGTGAAAGGCACTGCTTTTCCCCACATTTCTATTTAGCTGTGTTTAATAAATTATTTTGTCATTTTTTCATTCTTCACTGTTAACAATAACTGTGATAAATACTAGCAGATATGTTTACAATAAAGTTTAAAAATTATGCTATAGCTAACATAAATAGTATAAATAGAGAAATGTAGACGTTGAATATAAGTTCTGCCTTTTGTTTCTGCTCATGTTGCATGTTCTTCAGAACCTAGGATGACAAGTGTATATCATTTCACTTAAAAAAGGAGTTTAGTCTGTCATACTGTGTTCCACATTGCATTAAATTATCTTTTTTTAGATGGAATATACAGTAATATTTTTCATATAAAGCCAGCATTTCATCTTGTAAATTGCATACATGGTGAACCCACCTCTTAAATCCTCTGTGGTTGCTTCTGTTAAGAGAGGTGTCTATTGTGTGAGACTCCAGTTTCCTTTTTTGTTGGGCAATTGGTAAATTGTTTGAGTTCCTTCCTAAGTGAAGTTCCATAAAGGGAGCTAATTGTATTAATTATGCTACCCACTTCATTGGTCTGTGTGATTGAAGAAACTGGGTGTTCAGTCTGATAAAATTATTTTACATGCCAAAGTATAAAATATAACTAAATCAATATATTATTATGATATTAAAACACAATTCAGAGAAAACTCTTTAAAACATACTGCCTTTAAAATAGCAGGTCAGACTTCACATTGAATATATAGCAAACTCAGCGCACCCAGTCCCACACCCTGGACCATTAAGGTGCCAGCCACCAGTGGCCTGGCTGAATAGAAAGTAGAAGGATGGAAAAGAGGGACCATCCTATATCTGGCAGGTATTTCCATAGCCTGGGAGCAGTAACAGAGAAGGCCTTCTCTCATATCCAAGCAAACTTCTGAATGTTGTTGTTGTTTTGACTTATATACCACCCTGTAGTGCTAAAACAACCTTTGGGGAGCTTACAACACTTATGCAAACAACACTTTGCCCACCCTCCAGTGAAACTGGGGTGCTCGATTTACCAACCTTGGAAGCATGGAAGACTGAGTCAACTTTGAGCTGACATCCTGAATTTGTCAGGATAGAACTTAGCTTGTGAACAGAGGCTTGACTGCAGTACTGCAGTTTAACTACTGTGTTACAGGGTTTGCAGGTGTTGTGACTGAGAGAAGGCCCTCTCCTGCTTTTTTCAAAACCCAAGCAAGATTGTATATGAGAATACAATCTTTCAGGTAGACTGGACCCAGGCCTTATAGGGCTTTATACATCACAACAATCACATACTGATTCTGATCTTTATTGCGGTCATTGACCCACATATATATTCAGATATTATTATTGTATATATTAATAAAACATGAAAATACAATTAAAAATATACAGCCTATTATAATATGACTCAGTTTTATAGAGTTTCCATAGTTTCACAGGACTGTGGAGATGGTGGCCAGCACACACCATTACTTAACATCTGCATTGCTTTAATTGGTGCAAGGAGAGAACAGCGACACTTCATTGCTGCCACACAAAACTTCGCCACTGCTTTAGTTATTTCTTGTCTGAGAATAAGAGCGCAACATAAAATTCTCTGGACCTCCTTTGAAATTTTTGCAGTATGGGTTGGAGGAGATCCTTCCGAATGTCTCGATAGAAGAAGCACTAAGATGACATGATCAGCACTTTCAGTCTTTGCCTCATTGTAAAGTCACACTTCATTAGTGACTGGCAAACTCTGATATCTGCCTTCTAGTACTCTAGATGGAAGTACGTTAAATCTAGCTGACATAAGATTTCCTAAATTTGGAGATTGTTATTTTAAATAGATAACTGGGCGTTCTAAATGCACTGTTCCTAAATACACTAAGTTTGTCCAGCATTTGTTCTTGGAGCTCGACTTCCCAGATCCTCTTTTTGGTGGCTGCCTTGGCATTAATATGGCCATTGCTATTTTAACACCTGAGGAGAAGCCCCACTCAGTAATTCAGCAGATAGACTCCTCTTCCAAGTTGATTAAAAGATGTCTACTAATATAAAGGGTGCCAAACCTGTTGGAGCAAAAATAAGTTTCAACCAGTAATTAAACATGTGCGCCAAAGCATGTGCTTTGATGGAAACTAATCCTGCCTCCAATCAAAGTGTAGCCTTCAAGACACTTTGAGGCACCAGGAAGATCCCTCTCAAAAATTTGTCTGTACTATTTCCAAGCGCCCCTTCACGGATTGCTGCCTTGTTGTGGCAAAGGGGCTTGAGTAATTCACAGAAGCTATGGGCTATGCCATGCAAGGACACCGAAGACGGACAGGTCATAGTGGAGAGTTCTGACTAAATGCGATCCACCTGGAGCAGGAACTGGCAAGCCACTCCAGTATCCCTGTCAAGAAAACTCCATAGACAGAAACAAAAGTCTAAAAGATAAGACGCTGGAAGATGAGCCCCTCAGGTCCAAAGGCATCCAGCATGCTACTAAAGAAGAACAGAGGACAAGGACAAGTAGCTCCAGAGCTAATGAAGCGGATGGGCCAAAGCCGAAAGGATGCTCAGCTGCAGACGTGCCTGGAATGAAAGTCCAATGCTGCAAAGAAAAATACTGTATAGGAACCTGGAATCTATGAATCTTGGTAAGCTGGATCTGGTCAAACAGAAAATGGCAAGAATAAATATTGACATGCTGAGTATCAGTGAATTAAAATGGATGGGAATGGGAGAATTCAATTCAGACTATTACCATATGTGTTCATCAGTGTCTCCTGCAATTTTTTTTCTTCTGGACAGGGCATTTGGCAGAAGGTGATACTAGATGGTATAACAAATATTTAGATTCTTTTGCCTAACATAGATGGCAGAGAGGAGCTCCCAGTGATTAGCCTTCTTCCCTCACTACAACCTTGTTTTGCAAGACCAGAATTGCTGTCTTACATGTCACCGCAGCAGTATGTCGTGATCCACAGCTGATCTTGCTGATTTCTTCCCCATGAGGCATCTCTACCAAAGCAGGGAAAGCTTGGATGGAAATGAAGGTGGCTTGGTGGATATCTTGCACCA